GGCTGCCAAAATGAGGAAACAAAGAAGCATGGTTCAAATGCAAGAACAGAATAAAACCCCAGGAAAAGAACTAAACAAAATGGAGAAAGCAATCTATCAGATGAAGAGTTCAGGACTTCTGGCCAAGATGGAGACGTAAACACACTATGCCTCCTTGCACACCCAAAACAAGGATAACAACACATTTAAAAACAAGACAACCAGAACTGACAAAATCGAACTGTATGGCAGTGTGACAACCAAGGAGTTAAAGTAGACACATTCATCCAACTGGTAGGAGGGGCAGAGTCTGGCGGCTGGGTGGAGAGGAGTTGTGGGAAAAAAAGCAGTGGCTGGCAGACCCTGGGCCACGAGGCAGCAGCTGGCAGACTCTGGGTGTCAAAGCAGCGGTAGGTGGACCCAGCAAGGCAGTGGATTGTGGAGGGGCATGGTGCACGAGGCGGCTGGAGGACTAGGCGGTCCCACATTCCTGTGCAGATAAACCAGGAGAAACGGGAGTGAGACAGACACGCAAACCAGGGTCCCAGTGATGAGAAATAAAGCCTCAAAACACCAATTGAAAACACCTGTGGGGATTGAGGTTCCAGGAAAAACTCCAGCCTCACAGGAGAGTTTCTTGGAAAGACTCATGGGGTCCTAGGCCATATACAAACCCACCCACATGGGAATCAGCACCAGAAGGGCCCAGTTTGCTTGGGAGAAGCGGTGAAAGTGACTGAAATTTAACAAGGAGCGGAGCAAGCACCATTGTTCCCTCTCTGACCCCTGCCCCACATACAGTGTCACAACCCAGCAAGCCACTGGGTTGCTTTGCCCACGTGAACACCTAAGGCTTCACGTCTCACTATGAAACAGGTGCTATAAGACCAAAAAAAATGCCCCAAACAAAAGAACAGATCAAAGTTCCAGAAAAAATGCAACTAAGCAATGAAGAGATAGCCAACCTATCAGATACACAGTTTAAAACACTGGTAATCAGTATGCTCACAGAATTGGTTGAATTTGGTCAGAAATTAGATGGAAAAAATTAAGGCTATGCTAAGTGAAATAAAGGAAAATGTACAGGGAACCAATAGTATTGGGTAGGAAACTGGTACTCAGATCAGTGGAGTGAACCAGAAGGAAGAAACATCCAATCAGAAAAGAGTGAAGAAACAAGAATTCAAAAACATGAGGAGAGGCTTAGGAACCTCCAGGACATCTTTAAATGTTCCAACATCCAAATTACAGGGGTACCAGAGGGGAAGAGGAAGAGGAACAAGTGGAAAAGTTATTTGAACAAATAATAAAGGAGAACTTCCCCAATCTGGCAAAGGAAATAGACTTCCAGGAAGTCCAGGAAGCTCAGGAAGCTCAGAGAGTCCCAGTGAAGTTGGGCCCAAGAACAAACACACCAAGGCACATCATAATTGTATTACCCAAGATTAAACTGAAGGAGAGAATCCTAGAAGCAGCAAGAGAAAAGGAGACAGTTACCTACAAAGGAGTTCCCATCAGACTGTCAGCTGATTTCTCAAAAGAGACCTTACAGGCAAGAAGGGGCTGGAAAGAAGTATTCCAAGTCATGAAAGACAAAGACCTATATCCAAGATTGCTCTATCCAGGAAAACTTTCATTTAGAATGGAAGGGCAGATAAAGTGCTTTTTAGATAAGGTCAAGTTCAAGGAGTTCATCATCACCAAGCCCTTATTTTATGAAATGTTAAAGGGACTTATCTAAGAAAAATATAAGAAACACGTACAGTAAAATGACAGCAAACTCACAATTATTAACAACCACACCTAAAACAAAACAAACTAAGCAAACAACTAGAACAGGAACAGAACTACAGAAATGGAGATCACATGGAAGGTTAGCAACAGGGGAGTGGGGGGAAGAGAGAAGGGGAAAGGTACAGAGAATAAGTAGCATAGATGGTAGGTAGAAAATAGACAGGGGGAGGGTAAGAATAGTTTGGGAAATGTAGAAGCTAAAGAACTTATAAGTATGACTCATGGACATGAACTAAAGTGGGGGAATGTGGGTGGGAAGGGGTGTGCAGGGTGGAGTGGAATGAAAGGAGAAAAATGGGACAATTGTAATAGCATAATCAATAAAATGTATTAATAAAAAATTATTAAAGAGTCCAAACACTAATTATAAGGATGTTCAAGGAGCTTAGTGAGGACCTCAACAGTACCAGCTACACTGTAGGATCCCTGAACAACCAGCCGACTCATCTGTGGTTTGACTGGCAGCCCCAAGAGCAATGTCTGCTGTCACTTAGGTGGGGCCCTTTCTTCTTTAACTGGAGCTCAGTGTCACCAGAGCCTTTCAGCCTAAAATATAAGTATCACTGCTTCTTGTCCTCTGGGTCACATCCTCATGAGAATTTGTTTTCTATCATGTTAAGAAATTATTTAACTCTTCACATTTAGTCCCAGATAATCTAATTAGGGAAGGTACAGTGCCCTTTGCACCGACTTTATGAGTAAATCAAGTGTCTCCTTTGGAATGGTTCAAAGGTACCCGAGACAGCTTCATTATTTCCAGTTAATGTTCCACGACCATACCTGTGTATTCTCAACCTTCAAGTCTAAACCCTCAAGATATGAATGACCTAAATAAACATGCTACATCCATAAACTTCCAAGTATGAAGGTGTTTTTGTAAACCTGAAATCTTTTGAGAGCTCTTTGTATCTGAAATGCAGACTTTGGCATGTGCGAAGCTTGCTTTGAGTCTCAGGCAGTCTTTCAATTAGCAAATTGTAAGCTTATATGGAACTATTACAGGTCATATGATCCTAGATTCATTAGTGAAACTGAATGGAAGCACAGAGAACTGAAGCCTTTATAGAGCTCTCAGAGCTACTGGATGTGCTGCGGTTAGATTTATGGATATTAGTTTCCCCACCCCCGCTTCCTGTCTTTTTAAGTGCATTAGAACATTTAAAAATGTGACGTTGTGTGCAAGTAGCCAGCCTCCATGGGATGACGACAACTCCTACCGTCTTAGGCAGGATTTCCAGGAACACGTCCTGAGGCAGAGATTGGCTTCCAGGAGGTCTATGGGGAGGGCCCTCGGGAACCGCTTCTGCAGGAGAGTGAGGGATGCAGGCTCACACTGTATTCTCAGCATCCGGATGCTGTATTCTTTTTTTTAATATTAAATTTTATTTAGTTACTTTTCTTTTTTTATTTTTTTAAAATTTTATTTAGTTATTTTTCAAGTACAGTTTTTTGTCTATTTTTCCCATCCCAGCCTCCCCCGCCCCTTGCTCCCCACCTCCCTCCCATTTCCACCCCCCTTAGTTCTCGTCCCTGTGTCCTTCCTATTTGTTCCTCCAAATCCCTCCCCCCATTTTCCCCTTAAGTTCCCTTCCCTCTCCCCCTCTGGTCGCTGCCCACTTGTTCTCTATTTCAGCGTCTTTGTTTTTATTCTGTTTGCTTGTTTGTTTTATTCTTTAGCTTCCTGTCAAAGGTGAGATCATATGGTATTTGTCCTTCAATGCCTGGCCTATGCTGTATTCTCATCCATCTGGATGCTGGAGCTCAATCCTAGTTACAGGACAAGGGCTCGGGTGGTGAGGTGGGGGCAGGATCTGGTGGGGAGAGTTTGAACATACAGAAGGAAAACCTCTGTGGAGTTAGAAAATGTTGCTGTTCTCATTCTGTGACTTGGGTATTAATACCATTTTAGAGAAAGATAGACTAATATTCAAGAAAAATGCCCAAAGTTATCAAGCTATGGAAGTAAATGTGATTTTGTTCGTTTTTCTTTCTTGTTAAAAAATTATGAAATAGTCAAACATATGTAAAACTGTGGAGGATAATTTAACACCCAAGTGCTCAAGCCACTGAACTTGAAGAAGTCTTAGTATTTTGTTGTATTTGCTTCAGATACTTAAAAAAAACTTAAATAGTTAAAAAAAAACCTTTTACATTAATACTTTGTCTCCATTTCTCTCCCTTCTTTTACAGAAAGAATTTATACCATAAATGTGTTTTTTATCATTCTCATGACTTTTTTGTATGACCTATGAATGTATCCATAAATAGTCTATAGGATTATGTTGCATGTTTTACGCTTTGTGAAAATGAATCATGACAGGACAGGACTGAAGGCAAACGTCCTTCCCCATAGTCCTCCATCCTTACGTGGGCACATGTCCTGGTCGGGGTCCAGAAAATGTGAATACCACACTCCTAGGTCATGGCCGCAGAAGACTGCTCAAACTACCAGGACTCTTAGGGCCACGTCTTACGCACTTTTCTTCCTGATTTATTTTTATACAAGTAGAAATGCAAATTATGGTTCAACAACTGGAATTCAATAAGGTAAATCTAGGCATTCCAGCAGTTATGAAAGATGGTATCTTCTTTGAGGAGATGCAGGAAGCCCCTTATTGCATAGAGGTGTCATATAATTTGAAGACACTTGATGCTGAAACTGCATAATAAGGAGGCGGTCCAAAAGGTTACCTAACCCAAATGAGCCAAGTTTTCTCAGAAGCCAACTACAACCTGACCTTTGCTTAGATCCTTCAGAGAGATGCTGTATTTTTCTTCATCACCACCAAAGCACACATGCTGCATGCTTTGTGCAAAGAGCATAATCCTGAGACATTAAATAAAGATAAAGTGTTATTTTTTCTTTTGAAAAGTTTAAAAATTATTACAAAGTATGAAGATTAAAGTTAATAGATACATTGTATCCATCAGTGTGCTGGTCACTGTGGACAACAGAGTCTCCAGAGGGGAAAAGAGGCTCTGATTTGTAGCATTTGCTGTTCTCTGTGGTGTGAGTACTTTCGCCATTGATTTCAAGTTATCATGGTGACGTCATCAGATGGGGAGTTGGGAAGAGATGTGCACCACCCACTCTCCCGCAGGCGATGCAGCTCCAGCACACCACTGATGGCACCCAGTGGCCACAGTTAACAAATGTTAATGACATTTTCACAAAAGAAAGAAAACATTATGAATAATATTGAAGTCCTTCTTGTTTCTCTCCACAGATCTTTCTCTTTACCTTCCTTCCCCAGAGACAACTACTATCAAGAATCCGGTAGGTGTTCTTGCAGACTATATTTTTATACTTTTCCACATGTATATATAATAAAAATACATAGTTATACTTTGTATACTTTGAGTTTTACCTTATGCTATCATATTATACATAATCTTCACCTTCTTGTTCTCTTCAAAATTGTTTTTGAAATTTAGTCATATTGATATATATAGATTCAGCTCATCCATTTTGTGCTCAATTATATGAAAATATCACAGTTTACCCATCCTCTTATTAATGATCTTTCAGGTGGTTTCTAATTTTTGCTAATACAAGTGATGTTATAACTACCCTGTAGGTGTATCTCAGTGTCTAAAGTTACTATACCTAGAAGTGAAATGAATAGGCAATAGGGGTTGCTTATTTTCTACTTTAGTAATTTTTAGAATTTTTTCTCCAGTGGTTGTGTCAATTTATGCTTCTGGTGGAAGTATATGAGAGTTCCTCATTTCCCAAATTCTTGGTATCATCAGATTTTTAAAATGTCTCCAATCTTAGGGTATGAAATGGTATCTAGTTTTAACTTGCACTTCTCAGACTTCCTAGTTAGGTTGTGTTAGTTAGGTTTGCTGCTATAACAAATAGACGATCCCCCCTCCCCCCCAGTTAGAGTACTTTAAATGGAAGACATTTCCGTTTTACATAACAAGGCTACATTGGATAGTCTAGACTGATGAGGTGGCTCTGCTTCACACAGTGTTTCAGGAATCCTTCCATTTGTTAAATTTCCATCTCTCAGGTCATCGTCCTTCTCACCATGAGCATAGTCTTGGGTTTTTGGCACATACCAACTTTTGAAAAAAGATTGGAAAACTTCTGACAAAACAATCTTTTTATAGGTAATAAGGCACAAGTTACACACACCTCTTCCACTCACATTCCACTGGTAAAACTTGCTCTTATGGATACGTAAGTGCATCCTTAGGGGGAGGCTGGGAGATCCAACCTCTGGCCGGACAACTGTGTGTCCAGGAGGAAGGGAAGGGGGCAGGAAACTGCAGTCCTCCCTATGCAAGTGTTCGTTGGCCCTGTGGGCTTCCTTCTCTGTGACTCAGCTGGTAATATGTTTTGTCTCCTTTTATTTTGTTTGTTTTTTCTTACCAAGTTATAAGAATTCTTTATATGGTCTAGTTTGCCCATCTACTTTTTACAATAAATTTGAATATTTAAAATGTACCACTGCACATGCATCACTGAAAACATTTAAAAATATTTTAGTTTTTATTTAAAGGAGTTTGTTTTTTAAACAACTCTATATTCTTTTTATAAATTAAGATTCCTTTTGTAAAATGAATAATTAACACCAAACCCAGTTTTCTCTTTACTGAAATATATGATCTTACTTACTCAGTTTAATTAAAATAAGATAGGCCTATATACTCTGTTGACTTCTTAAAAATTATAGTTTTTGGAAATTCTCTAGGCCAATATAAGTTACTCAAAGTTAAAACTTAGAAAAATGGAGTTTCTTAGATTCGATGGAAACTACTGAACCTACAAGGGAATCTGAAAACATGTAGGACATTGTGGTAGGTTTTTTATTTTATTATTTTCCCCACTTTTTAAAATTGTCATTCAAGTATAGTTGTCTCCATTTTCTCCCTTCCACTCCCCCCCATCCCCACTTCCCACCCTTTTAACCACTTTGTTTCCGTTTTCTCAACTGTAAGGATGATATTATTTGCTCTGCCTACCATATGAAATTGTAATAAAGATCAAGCAAGATGATGTAGAGAAAATAGTTTATAGAATTCAAAGTTCGTGTAATTATTAGGAATCAGAATCACAAATAGGATTTCAGTTGTGTGCATTCATTTGAAATCTCCTAAATTCAGTTATCAGTTCCACTGACCCACTCCATGCCATCTACCCTGATACCCCATCCTCCATAAAGGCATCTGACTCCTGACAGTCACTGCCACACACTGTAGGTGTGGGTGGAGTGAAAGCTGTGCGCACAGCCCCAGCTCTGTGAGACCAGACTGTCCTGTGAGTTGCTTTTATTCAGAGCTGCTCCTTTCCTTATGGCAACCTGGGAGATGCTTTTCAGCCTGTTTTCAAGCATTTTTCAGCTGCACTCCTTTACCACAAATTATGCGTTGGAGTTTTTTTCCACCACTAAGTCAGACTAGCTCAACTTGTCATTTGTCCCTGCCTTTGCTACAGCAATGCTCAGTGCACTGGAATTCTGCATCTGGCTTGTCCCACCCGTGAAAACCCACTGGAGTAAGGAGGGCAGCCTGGGGATGGCGTCTCCCTGCCTCAGCCCATTAGCCCCTCTCCCCAGTATCTCTGCTGCAGCACCACCCAGCATGGCGGTCCTCAGGCTTGGCCAAGGGAAGAGAGGGCTGCTGGGGGCAGAGACTGGGAGAAACAAGCATGCCCTGGAATGTGATTTGTGCTTCGTTAATGATAAACAAACTTGAAAAAGTTAGAAAGGAGAATTTTAACAATGTGTTGAAGAAGTGAGTATGTAGTCAAACTTTCATTAGTTTATTGCTATACTTGAATTTCATTTTGCAAATGAAAACAGCAATGTTCTTGTGACAAATGCAGGACCGTTGTTTCATGCTGTGTGGATTAAAACTGCAGGTGTTAGTTATGCCTAGTGAGAAAAAGGTGTGAGCCGAGGTGATGTGCACTGGCAAGATGGGGAATTAGCAGAGTCAGGGTCTCTGTTCTCCCTTTTACCCAGGATGGGGCTAACATTCCTTCACTTAATAAGTTTTATTGAGTACCTCCTATATACCACAAGGTACCGTAGGTACTGGGATATAGCACAGGCTGAATGAAGCGGGTGAGGTCCTGCTCTCATGGTGCTTCAATTGGTAGGATACAGAGGAGGTTAAGGGGCAAGTGATCAACAAAGAGACACATGATAATTAAAATAAATACAAAATGTCAGTTAGTGGCAAATAATATGGAAATATTTCAAAAACTGTGATGTGAAGTAGATTGGGGACATCAGGGAAGGTCTTTCTGAAAAAGTGCCATGTTAGTTGAGAAATAAATGGTAAGAAGGAGCAAATCATATGCAACTAGGTGGGAAAAACACATAGGACAGAGGGCTCAGTTAGTGCGAAGGACCAAAAGTAGGACCAAGATTAACAGGTCTGAAGGACAAGGAAGAAGGACCAGTGGGGCGGTGAGCACAGATGACAGGGAGGCTCATGGGCAGAGGTAGGCTGGGGCCAGATCATGTGAGGCTCTGCCAGGCAGGGCTAATTCACAAGTCCAGGGTTTAGTCCAGAATGGGGTCCACCTTGGAGAGCTTCTGGGGCTATGAGGAAGCCATGGTTCTCAGAGTCAGGCCACTTCCAGGTCCAGAGAGTGTCTCTGGGTTGGCTTGAAGACCAGTCTTTGGTCTTCAAAGGTAAAGGTAAAGGGCAGACACTGGGAGATAGGGGCCATTACAGAAATGGTATCCCACTGGGAGGAGTAGACTAGCAGGTATTGTGTGAGCTGGTGAGGATCTAAACTGATGAAAGTGAGACCCCAGAACAAGGTAGGACTGACAGACAGACTCTCTAGGTGAACATGGAGTGGGTGTATACTGAGACCGTCAACTCCGGTGAAAATCACCTAAGTATTTGTTCAGCCCCTCACGTCCCATACCACAGACCTGGGGCATGAAGCCAGCTCCTGAACCCACATGCTCGTGTGTGGGAGCTCTAAGTGTGCTGCAGGACCTGACCTCCATGCTCACCTGGGCTGAGCCTGCAGTGGACAGGTCATTCCAGAGGGAGGTGGCAGTATATACACCATGCTAGAGCAGACTGAGAGTGACAGCCAAGGAGACAGAACTTGCTTTTGAAGGTTACGATCAAATTCAGCGTCCTGTCCCTTTGAGTCACCACTGAAGCTAGACCTTTCACAGTTTTTGTCATTGTGAGTTAACCGACCACCTGGTAAAGGAACAAGGCAAGAGTCCGTTGTGAGTGAGACTTGACTGTGCATTCTGCAGGCAGATAAGCCCTGGAACAGGCCAGGCACAAGTTGAGGCTTCAAGTGCCAGTAACATCTCAGGACAGCAGGGAGGGTCCTGCCTCTAAGCGGGCACCATGTCTAACTACAAGGCCCTTAATAATTGTGGCCAGGAAGATCTCCAGAGTGCCTCAAAGCCCATACTTTTCCTACTAGATTATCATGTCTCCTGAGTAAACATGTCCCTATACTTTTTATTTGTTGTGGTAAAATTAGTCCATAATTACGAGGAATTGAAATAAGGCCCATTTCACAGAGAAATACTATATAATACTAAGTTAAAATGCATGTGTCTGCCTGCTAGGTGGAAACTATATAAATAGACAACCTACCTGACTATATATATCCCATTAGGAGATTTCTACAGAAGCTAACAACAAAACCATTATTATCTTCGAGAGAAGCACTTGTTTCCTGGTACCTGTGTTCTAGGTACATACTGAGCACCAGCTACATGATCCCCTTGATTATGCCATCATTTCTAAGTAAAAGTAATATGCTTAAGAAATCAGGGGGTTTGGACGGTCATCTGGTTGGACTTGCAGCAGCTTTCCCATTAATGTAATATTTACCTCATGGGACTTGTGTAATCACTTATTTGTACTTCCCTTTTTTTATCTTGGGAGGATGAGGACAGTAACAAATTAAACTAAGTGCTTGGTTCATAGACACTAGAGTTAGAAAGGAGCTTGAGAGGGCCGAGCTAGCCTTCTGCCTTCAGACAGTTATGCACAGGAGAGCGAGAGATATTAAAGTGCCTTCTCAAGGCCATCTAGCTAGAAAATGGGAGGACCGATGCCACATTCCCGGTCTCCTATTAAGATCCTATCTCCTGTGAAGATCTCCTTCCCCCACACTGCTTCTGTGCGAGAGTGTGTCAGTGAGTGTTGAGATACAGCACATCTGTCTCACTGTTTCTCCCTGACGGATTGTGCTTTCAAAGCACAGAATGAAGAGGTGAGGGTGCAATAAAAATATGGTTCCTGCAGCTGGTATATTGTGCTTCTAACTCA